TTTCAAGTTCGCATGCTTCAATTTTAGATTTGTACTAGTGCTGCATGTTTTACTTATATGTGCATATATTTACAAGAACAGGAAGAACATGTAAACTCTATACAGGTAGTGTCTTGGTTTGGATTCAAACTGAGAACTCCAGTAGTGCAAGCCAATGTGATTGAATGGTTACAAAAGAACTGCCTGTTCTTTTTAGTTTGTGCTCTTTAAAGCTGATTCACACATGTGTGGTGCGGATTGAAGCTCGAGTTTCACAGCCAATTGATACAGTAGTTGTTGAGCGATTCATGTCGGGTTTACATCAGGTTCAGGACAGGATTAGAAATGGTTGCCATAGAAGCCTGTATTCCACACCTGAACCTGAAGGCACTGCTCAGAAATCATACATGACTCTTTTTCAAACCGCACTGAATCCCTGCCAGCAGTGCACTGGACATATGTGAACAGGTACCATAGGAAGCAATGTTTTTTCATGTGTCATGCGGATTGGATGCAGTTCAAACCGCATCCAATAAACATACTGTATATGTAAACCATCACTTACTGTGTAGCCAGGTGCTTGGCTAAGAATAAGAGTGAGTGACAAAAAATGCTGGCTGAAGCTGGTCTCTGTAGCTGCTGTCCTGCGGTACTGAACTGGTTAACAGCTATATCAGCAAGAGGAGGGAGATGCTGAGCAGCAAGAATTCCATAGACTAGTCAGGCAGCACTGCACTGTGGGAACTGTAGTCCAGAGAAGAAAGAAACTCTACTGTAATCAAGAGCTTTTGAACTGCATTTCCCAGAGAGAGCTTTGAGTGAGCATCAATAATCGCTTGCTTTGCACCAAAAAGTGATTTGATTTTGTACACATTTTGCACTATTCCCTGGGCACTACACCCTGAGGTGAAATGCTAGCCCAACTATCCCTGGTGGCCCCACTAGCCTTTAGCGGTCAGAGGGGTGTTACAGGTGCTAAACAGATACAATATCGCAATATAAACTTCCACCAGTTAAGTTGTGACAATAACAAAATAAAACAGAAGGGTTAAAAGATCTTTAGAAGACTGCAACTGTCCATTATATTCAGGTGAGTGTCACCCTTCTCTGCACCCACACATAACTACCCTCCTTTGAACCCATCCTTTTATTGGTAGTAGCCATTTACTTTTAAGTTCCCCTTATAAGTTCCCCTTAATTATGTTCTTTCTACTTTCTGCCATGTTCCTTTCCATATAGAGCTCCTTTCTGTATGGCTCAAGGGCTCATTCAGCCTTGGGGCTACTAGTCCTTGAAGAAAACTTGTACTAAAAGAAGTATGAAGTCTGATCATATTAACTTCTCCATATGAACACGCTAGTTTCCTGGATGATATGCTCACCCAATGGCATCTATACTTTCTAAGTCACTAACTAAAACCAAATATGCAGACTTTTTGCTAAACAAACTAAAAAGACCAAAAATGTAAAAAAGTTTTTTTTCAGTTTCTATTAAAACATTTTGCAAACAGGTTATTTTTCTCCTTCACTGTTGTGGGTTGATGAGGCTGCACTGATGGGCACTGATAGGCAGCACTGATGGGCAGCACTGATGAGGCGGCATTGGTGGGCATTGATGAGGAGGCACTGATGAGGCTGCACTGATATGCGGACTGATGGGCACTTATAGGTGGCACTGATAGGCAGAACTGATGGGCACTAATAGGCAGCACTAAAGGGCACTGATGAGACAGCACAGATAAGCAGCACTGATGGTAACTGATAGACTGTAATGATGAGGCGGCACTGGTGGGCATTGAGTAGGAGGTACAGATGAGGCTGCATTGATATGAGGCACTGGTGGACAGTGATAGGCGACAATGATGGGCACTGGTAGGCGGCATTGATGGGCACTGATAGGCGGCATTGATGGGCACTAATAGGTAGTACTGAAGGGCACTGATAGGTGGCACTGATAGGCTGCACTGACTGGTGGCACTGAAGGGCACAGAGCAGCAGCACTGATGGGCACATATTGCCAGCACTGCTGGGCACTTTTGGGGCTGCACTGATAATCAGGGCACTGATTATCAGTGTAGATGTCTCCTTTCAAACTTTCCGGCTATTGGCTATCAAGTGAGGAAAGTGCTGGCGATAACCGGCAAGTGTGTTTACATCGTGATCAGCTGTGATTGGACACAGCTGATCACGTGTAAAATGCCTCTGTGATTGGCCCTTTACCATGACATGTGATTGGACACAGAGATCACAGAAAGCGCCGGGTGCATGCCCCTGGGGGCACACGGGGGTGGGTGGGGGTGCGTGGTTCAGGAACACCCTACCAGAACTGGATGACCTTGCCGTAGCCGTCATATGGCAATAGCAAGTGGTTAATAAAAACCCTGCTTTGTGTTTTTTTATCATGCACTAACAAATGCACGACATTTTCATATTTTTTTTCTATTTTTTATTAATCTACTATTTTTATTTACTACTGTAGTGCCTTTAGTATAACACTGATGATGCTGCAGATGCCAGCTATAGACATCGCTTGTTAAGCTATTAATCACATTTAAAAATATAAAATAATCTGTACACCGCTGCGATATACTCTATATTGTTCACCCTTTTGGATTTATTAAATGTTATGGATAAATCAACATTGCGGCAGTTGTTCCGAATTATAATATTATTCATTTTTCTTGATATAGCAATGGGTTACAGGCAATGCAGGTATAAACCACCTCTCTATGTAACGGAAGGCAGGAGTCATTATATACTTTAACAAAGAATTAGACGGACTTAAACTAATAAGCATTTCCCAAAATTGACAAATATATATCAATACATATAAATTTACTAATCAGTGAACTGTAAAGTTAACCAGTCAGAGAATTTTTATGGTAAGGATAGTTATCTTTTTCCCTCTCTTTTTCTCTCTCCTCTCTTCTCTCGCTCTCTCTCATCTCCTCTCTTCTCTCTCTCTCTCTCTCTTCTCTCCTCCTCTCCCCTCTTCTCTCTCTCTCTCTCTCTCTCTCTCTCTCTCCTCTCTTCTCTCTCTCTCTCCTCTCTCTCTCTCCTCTCTCTCCTCTTTCTCTCTCCTCTCTCGTCTCTTCTCCCTCTCTTCTCTCCTGTATTCTCTTTCTCTCTTTCTTGTGTATAATACTAAGCTCATGTTGGAAAACAAGGAAAACCTACCCAGGATCCAGTCGCCTTGCCACTAAACAGATTTCCTGTTGAACAGATCCACTGCTGAATTAGAGCAGAATGGGATGATGTCAGTTCAGTTTTTTGTTAGAAAATGTTTAGACGACTAGTAACTATTGATGAGTCTATTCATGTTGTGTAACACAATCTTGAGACAGACATTCCAGGGAAGGGGCCCATTTTAGGGTGTAGGAACCTTTAAAGTGAACTATATAACATAATAGAAAGCAATTGAAAAAAGAATGGATACGAAAAACTCTCCCAATATATATATATATATATATATATATATATACACACTCTCATTATAATATATATATAATGTGCAAAAGTTCTATGCAGGTGTAAAAAATTGCTGTTCATTAAGAATGATTTCAGAAACTGTAGTGTTAATAGTTTATTTGTATCAATTGACCACTAGCATACTGCCCCATGTAGATATCCACTTCAACTCCGGAAGATTTTACACTCTTCGTGACCAGGTCATTTTTTGCTAGTTGGCACTGCGCTACCTTAACTGGCTATTGCGTGGTCATGCAACACTAAGGAAAAAATGTCACCAGCACACCAAGGATCACCAACATGGGTCCAAGGTTTTAATAAACCATCACATACAGTAGTTACAGCAAGGAAACGTTCCGGAGTCTCGCAGGACCCCTTCATCAGGCATGTGACATCACATGCCTGATGAAGGGGTCCTGTGAGACTCCAAACGTTGCCTTGCTGTAACTATGTGATGGTTTATTAAAACCTTTGGACCCATGTTATCTTCGGTGTGCTGGTGACATTTTTTTCTTGCTGATTTTGTTCGGTTCCAGCCGACGGTCACTGCAGCACCCACTTATACACACAGCCATTTTTAACGCAGGAACGTGTGTGTTTGGATTATACACTTGTGTCATGCAAATTATAAATTATAGTATATATATATATATATATATACCGTATTTTCCGGCGTATAAGACAACTTTTTTTACTTAAAAACATACCCCAACAATTGGGGGTCGTCTTATACGCCGGGTATAGAACGCTGGATGTGCGGTAATACTGTATGGTAGCTTCAGCTACATACAGTGTACCGCTCTGAGCCAATCACGGCGAGCGATGTATTCTATTAATGAATACAGAGCCTGCACGGATTGGCTGAAGTTTTGACATCATCAGCCCGCCTCTCTGACACAGCCAATCCGAGCAGCCTCAGTATTCATTAATAGAATACATCACTTGCTGTGATTGGCTCATATGACGTCCTCCCATTCTCCGCGCATTCCTCCGCGCAGTGCGCGGCGATGCGCTGTGTCCCTCGGACACAGCTACCACCGATCACGGAAAGAGCCGAAGATGTCGGCTCGGTCATGTGATCAGCTGTGTCCAATCACAGCTCATCACATGTAATCAGGGAAATGTCAGATATCGGCATTTCTCTCCTCTCGAGCTGTCATGTTGACAGCTCGAGAGGAGAGGAGAGGAGAGCTGGTAATCGGCTTTCCGCGGAGGGGACATGTACACTGATCATCAGGGCACTGATGATCAGTGTGCCCTGATGATCAGTGTAGCTCCAGCAGTGCCAGCTGTCAGTGTCCATCAGTGCCACATCAATGCCACATATCAGTGCCTACCAGTGCACATCAATGCCACATATCAGTGCCCATCTGAGCTGCCTTTCAGTGTCACCCATCAGTGTCGGTCAGTGCCACCTATTAGTGCCAGTCAGTGCCGCCTATCAGTGCCATGTATCAGTGCTGCCTTTCAGTGCCCATCAGTGATGCCTGTCAATGCCCATCAGTGCTGCCAATCAGTGCCACCTATCAGTGCGCATCAGTGCCGCCTATCAGTGCCACATATCAGTGCCAGTCAGTGCCACATATCAGTGCGCATCAGTGCCAGTCTGTGCCACCTATCAGTGCGCATCAGTGCCGCCTATCATTGCCGCCTATCAGTGCCGCCTATCAGTGATGCCTGTCAATGCCCATCAGTGCCACCTACCAGTGCCTCCTCATCAGTGCCCATCAGTGTCACCTATTTCATATGGGTACAGTGTTGCATGACCGCGCAATTGTCATTCAAAGTGTGACAGCGCTGAAAGCTGAAAATTGGCCTGGGGGAAGTGGGTATAAGTGCCCTGTAGGCTAGGGGTTAAATGGTGTTGCCTCAGAAGGGGGGTAGTCTTCTACAATGAGTATAGCCCAAAACCCATGCTTTAACTGGAAAATTAGGGGGTCGCCTTCTACACCCAGTCGCCTTATACGCCGGAAAATACGGTATATATACCATTATTTGTAGACGCTATACCTTTCACTCAAATCAATCAATATACACTTATTAGGACCAAAGATGTGTAGCAGAATGCATTTTTCCTAAATTTATGTAGAAATTGTTTTTATTAAATGGAACAGCATTAATTCTTCTAGGTACACTTGCACACCACAGTTTTCGAAGGAACTCGTCAGTAGGTTGTTCCAAACATCTTGGACAACTAACCACAGATCTTCTGTGGATCTATGCTGCCTCAGATCTTTATGTCTCTTTGTGTAATCCCGGACAGACTTGATATTGAGATCAGGGCTCTGTGGGGGCCAAACCATCACTTCCAGGACTCCATTTTCTGCTTTACACTAAGGATAGTTCTTAATTACATAGGCTGTATGTTTGGGGTTGTTGTCTTGCTGCAGAATACATCTGGGGCCAATCACATGCCTCCCTGATGGTATGACAAAATTATGGAAAGACCAGGTAAAAGTATGAAATCGTTACCTAATATGGTGTTGGACCACCTTTGGCATCCAAGATGACCTGAATTCTCCTGGGAATTGACTAATATAAGTCTTGGATGGTGGATAATGGAATCTGATACCACTCTTCATGCAAAAATCATCATTACAGTTCTCTCAGAGATGCCGGAGGTAGAAAAACAAACCCAAACCGGCATGCGCGGCCAGGGATGATGGCAGACGTGTTCTGCTGAGCTCCGCTCATCCCCGGCCAGGAGTGACTCACCCGCTCCGCACTACAGCTGATCTTCTGCCTCGGGGTGAGTCACGTTTCACTAAGCACCCTGCCCAGCACCAGGGAGAGGCTTCTATGGGGAAGATAGGGCGCTGGAAGCCCCCCTCCCCGCAGCCTCAGGACCCGCGGCCCTCGCCTCTGCGGCGCTTCCTATATAGGCCGCAATCCCCGGCCTCTAGTGAGGATAGAGGTCCGAGGAAAGATCCCGGACCTCTAGCGGCCGCGGAGGGTACTGCACCCTATATAATCCCAGCACAGCTGCAAACCTCTGCTCCGATCCTTCCACACATGGGGGATCATGACCCCCAATTGACAGCAGGAGAGGCTATGGGACAACCCTACTCCAGGGGGTCTCCCCAGCCCCTGGTCTGAATCTTCACCAGACAAAGTCGTCTCCTCTGCTCACAATCTCCGCGTTAGACGACAAGCTGCAAATTTTTTTACGAAACATTACCGCCTCTATAGCCGCTGAAGTGGGAAAATTGGCTAATGAGCTCAGAGGGGAAATAGCCCAGATTGGGGACCGCACGGATAAGCTGGAAAGTAAGTTTGATGATTTGGTGCAATACGTTCACGTTTTGGAGGAAGATAATGCCTATCTGAAACATTCCATGTCCCAAATGCAGCTCCAGCAAGAGGACCTGGAAAACAGGGAACGGCGCCAAAATATCCGTATACGTGGTTTGTCCGAATCTGTTGCTGATGCTCAATTGCACTGCCATCTACTGTCCTTCTTCATCGCTACTGCCCCCATGGTCCCAGAGGCAGATTGGCGGATGGATAGGGCCCATCGCTCTCTGGGCCCTAAACCGATTGAGGGAACCAGTCCACGTGACGTTATAGTCCGCTTCCACTACTTTCAAAGTAAAGAAGCCTTACTATCAGCAGCCCGCCACAAATCTTCTTTGGAGTTTAAAGGTGATAAACTCCAACTCTTCTGTGATCTTTCTCCGATTACTCTTGCTAAGCGACGGGCTTTTAAGCCGATCACCACACATCTTCAACATCATCGTGTCCTGTATCGTTGGGGGTTCCCCTTTAAGCTGGTGGTTGTTAGGGACAACACTCATGTTGTCCTCCGTGATCTTCAAGAGGCGGATTCTTTCCTTAAGCAGTTGGGACTTCCACCTCTACCTGCTGATATGTCCTCGCCGCCGCCTACTCCATCCCGTCCTTCTGTCACCCCTTCCAAGATATGGACACCAGTCCGCGGAGGTCGGAGGAGACGCACACCGCAACGTCCACGCCCTCCCCGATCAAGCGACCCTCCTGCCTGATGATTTTCAGGGGTAACCTTTTGTGCCGAATCGGGTGTTTTGTTCGGCCATAGCCTTGCTGGGTGCATTTTATTTTGTTCTTGTTTTCTCTGGCCGGGTTTGACGTCCTCCCGGAAGTGTCGGATGTCGTGCTGCCCTCGATACTGTCTAGCCAATGGCCTAGACGATTTGGGCTTAGTTGACGTTCCCAAGTTTATATCCTTGCGGATACCTGCTCTTCATTGTGTATTTTTTTCTGTTGTGTTATGTTTTCTGTTTTCTGTTTTTTTTCTTTTTACTACATCGATGGTAATTTTTCCATTTGTCATGCTAATACATGTAGCCCAGCCACTGTTATTCTATAATGGCTTTGAGGTTTCTGTCATACAATGTTAAGGGCCTCAACTCTATTCAAAAAAGATGGATGGCTTTGAAGGAATTTCGATCCTCAGGAGCAGATATCATTTTTGTCCAAGAGACCCATTTCAAATCTACAGGCTCCTTTTCGTTTTGCCTCGAGATTTTTTCCCCGTGCCTACTCGGCTTTTGATCCTTCTGGGAAGGCCGGAGCGGCAATTTTGATTGGGTCACATTGCTCCCTTCGGGTTGTTTCCTCCAAAGTTGACCGACAGGGTCGTTTCATTCTTCTGGAGTGTATGTTTGGTGAGACTCCCATAGTTCTGCTGAATTTATACGCCCCTAACACAGGCCAATTGCAATTTCTATCCCAAACACTCGCCGAACTGGATTCCTTTTCCACTTCGCAGGTGATAGTTGGGGGAGATTTTAATCTGATTCTTTCCCCCCATAAAGACAGGAAGGTTCTTTTTGAGTCCTCTCCCTCGAAGCGGCAATGCTCCTCTTCAAAATCCTTTCGTAGATTAATTAGGGAGCATCGTCTCTTTGACGCATGGCGGATTAAACATCCTCTCCATAAACAGTTCACTTTTTACTCTACCCCTCACCGTAGTTATTCTCGCCTAGACCATTTTTTCGTTTCTGCTCCATTGCTTCCACTTCTGGTATCTTCTGATATTAACCCCATTACTTGGTCCGACTATGCCTCTTTGACTTTAAACCTTTTTTTCCCCCCTCTTATATCCAAACCTTGTCATTGGCGCCTTAATGAGACCTTTCTTTCCACAGACCATCTTAGAGATGAATTATCGCAGGGACTTGATACTTATTTCACCCATAATGTTGGTTCCGTAAACTCCTCCTCAACTCTATGGGAGGCTCACAAGGTGGTTTTTCGAGGGCTCTGTATTTCTATGGGTTCTCGTTTAAAAAAGTCCTCGGCGAGTGCTAGGGCTTCCCTCATACAACAGCTATCTTGGGCGGAAGGTCAGTTATTGGCTAAGCCATCTATTCCTGGGCTCCAGAGGGTAATTTCTCTACGGGATCAGGTTAAAGCTCTTGACTCCAGTAGGACTGCTCAATCCCTCCTTTGGGTCAAGCAGAAATTCTATGAATTTTCCAATAAGCCCCATCGTATGTTAGTCAATCGTCTCAAAGCTCAGTCCCCTTCCACGATGCCTGACTTACTAATACAGCCAGATGGAAGCCCCACTTACGATCCTCGGGCTATGGCAACTATTTTTGGCTCATTTTATGGGAAATTGTATAACTGTTTAACCCCGGACCTGCACCCACCCCTCACACAGTCATTATTTGATAATTTTTTTGATACATTGTCACTCCCGAGTATTTCACCTTCGGACACTGCCACCCTTAATGCTGACATTACCCTAGAGGGATTACTGGACACAATCAAACTTCTCCCTTCTCGTAAAGCTCCGGGACCGGACGGATTGCCCTACTCCTACTATAAAACATTTATTGGTATTCTGGCACCGCATCTCCTCTCTCTATATCACAATCTTTTTAAGGGAATTATACCTCAGACTGAATTCTCCCGTGCATATATCTCGGTCATCCCTAAACCCGATAAGGACCATTCTATCGTGGACAACTACCGCCCCATTGCCCTACTCAATTCCGATTATAAGATTTTTACCAAAATTTTAGCCAACCGATTGTCCGGAATCATCTCCAAGATCATACATAGGGATCAAGTGGGCTTTGTACCTGCCAGACATGCCGCAGATAACACTAGGAGAACTATTGATCTGGTTGATCTGGTTAACAGGTCCTCTACCCCTACAGTGTTATTAAGCTTGGACGCTCAAAAAGCTTTCGACCGTTTAAGCTGGCCTTATATGTTCATGGTCTTGGAGAGATTTGGTTTCAAAGGTCCATTTGTAGCAGCTTTGAAGGCCCTCTATTCATTCCCCCTTTCACAGGTCAGATTAGCTTCTTTTCTCTCGCCTCCCTTTCAGATGTCAAACGGAACGCGTCAGCGCTGCCCACTCTCTCCTTTACTGTTTATTCTTTGTCTGGAACCTCTAGCCATCGCTATTAGGTCAAACCCGGATATTCGCGGGATACAGTCACATTCCCATGAGTACAAATTATCGTTATTTGCAGATGACATTCTTCTCACGCTTACGAGTCCCCATACTTCTTTACCGATTTTGCATAAGTCCTTGAAACAATTTGGGGCTATTTCAGGTTACAAAGTCAATACGTCCAAAACTGAGGCACTCCCAATACATATCCCTCCTATCGTTTTGTCCTCGCTTCAGGAAGCCTTTCCCTACCGGTGGTGCACACACTCTTTAAAATATTTAGGT